GCCTCACCACACTATTGTGTGGTTATTTCTAACCTAACATGTATGTAAATATAAAATACTTGGAAATGAATAGACATCTCAGATTTTAGAAACAGAAAACACACATGCAATTTTAACTTCTTTTGACTCGCTTTATAAATTTACTTTCAAATTAAATTGACTACAATTTATGGGATATCTATGATATGAAATCATCTAAAACTGTCCTTTATGCGATAAAAGTATATATATTTTAAAAATTGTACTGATGATAATATCTTTTATGATCACTAGAGGCAGGCTCGGACATATCTGTGGTGAGGTTATTTTTAAATCTACCCCATATATGTAATTTTTTATTTTGCCTTTAATGAGATGACCTTTTTAGGTTTATTCCTATTTTATTCGAGAACAGAAAACAAGACAGTTCTCTGAAGACATGTTTTTAAAAGTTAAATACGGCTGGTCCTTTGGTGTGGAAATGAAGTCAGCGCTCTTATTTTACTAACAGAAAACCTGAAGCCTGGAGAGTCCCAAGATAACAGGTCCAGCCCGTGGCCAAGGCAGGATGGAGCCCTGGTCCTGCTGTGCACGGATGGCACCCTTTACAGTTTGCCAAGCTGACCCTACTGGCCAGGCTTGCCAGCTACATAGTAGGCTGTGCATGTGTTCTCTCCACACTGACTAGTAAGAGAAGAAATAGCATCTCTAAAACAAATGCATCTTGTGGAGAAAGTAGGATGAAGTCATTTCAAACATGAATGCCAAGAGACCCGAAGAAGCAAACATAAATAATCTGGTCAATTGGAGGTTTTGTAAGAAGGCTCACGTTTTAAATGCCTTCCTCCAATAGGAAATAAATAGAATAATAAGGATTGGGGAAATTTCGCTTTCTCTGTTTTGGAAAAGCTGAATATATGGATAACTACACATACCTCACATTCTTGGAAAATTATACATTATTTAGAAAAGGGATTTAAAAACCTTAAACTCACAAGAGTTCAACCTCTAACCCCCCTAGGTTGTTGCCACCCTCCTTTCCCACTGCCTGGGTCAGGAGGAACAGGCCAAGGCATTAGTCAGCAGTTTCTGAATTCTGACCCACAATAGGAAAGATACTTCCAGGCAGGAAAAATAGATGGAGGCAATTACAAACAGCTGTTTGATTGATGGTTGACACTGTCAGGGCTCCACTGTATGGCAGATTGCAATGATGTTGAACTCCCCTTGCTACCAGTGGACGTTGCTATTGGCAACTGAGCAGTGAAGCCAATAAAAAGGCAAGGAAATGAAGGGAAAACTCAACCTTAGTGGAAGCCGTAGGGTCTGTGCTATAAATTATGTTCCCCTCAGCAATATGCAGCATCAGTGTTCAGGATCGCAATAGTGCTTGTAGCTGCCTGCAGTCTTCACGGGCCCTGGGTCCAGTTTTATCAGCAGGCACACACTTTAAAATGTCGCTGTAGATAGACTGGCATCCGTCTGTCTGGGCTATTTATATTGTTGGGGAGGATAACAGATGTGGGTTCGTCTCTGCCTCACCCGGTCTGCTTTGCAATTCCCGCTTGTGATATAAACCTGAGCTGGCACAATAGCCAGAGCAACACCTGCAGTGCTGCTGAGCTGCAGACGCCCAGGGTCTGTCCCTAACTCCACCCACCCTTTGTTCCTCACCTGAGGAGGGACAGCCCGGCAGAAGCTATTTCCTTTATAGCCGAGTGATCCCGAAAACTGGCTTAATAAAACCCATAAATCTGAACAGCCTCCTCTTACCTGCTCTGCGGAGGCCATGTTTCCTGCGCTCATTTTCTCCTCCCGTCCCTCTAGTCTCCCCTGCAGAGGCAGCTGTGAAGGGGAGCCAGGAACATTATATTTTTGGACTCCCACTCCTTCCTTCTCTCTTTTGTCAAACCTCTCCCTGCTCAAGTATCTCTCTTTTCTAAGCAATTGATGACAGGATTGTGCACCCCCATGTGATCTGGTTAGAAGTGCATTTGTCTGTGTGGATTGACTTTCACCTTCCCTTTGGCAGTTTTCCGACCACCTGCCTCAGTCACTTCTCCTCCCCCTCTGCCCCCTTTCCTCCTCCTCTTTCTCTTTCTCCTTCTTTTACCCCTCTTTGCCTGGTTGATAATTTTACTTTGTTTCTTGCCACCTGGTCCCTATGTGTATCTGCTCTTCCCTCACTTCCGCTTTGGTACCTTCATTCACCCATTTTTTAAAAACACATTTCCTGAATGCCTGCTCTGTGCCAGAAAAACAATGTTCTTTGTGGACCTCAGCCCCTATTTCCTTAGTATTTGAGTAATGAAGTTAATAACTGATACTGGCCAGGGGCAATAAGAACAAAACATGGTTTATAAATTTTAGATTTTTCAGAGCTGGAGTGAACTTCAAGGTTCATCTGGTCCAGGGATTTTCAAACTCCTCAGAGCCTCTTATGGAGCACCATGTATGTAATCAAAGACATGCGGATGTGCAGGGGCTCTGGATCCCCAAACCGGTCAAGTGGAGGACTTACAGAGGATGTTTCATATCTTGGGGATTCCTTGTGAGATATATTTGAACAAAGAGTTACAAGGTTAAATGTGTTTGAAAACCATTTCCTAGTGTAATCTCATTTGACAAATGAGGAAACAGACTGAGAGAAGTTAGGTGAAGTGTCCAAAGTCATCCAGTCACTATGCCAAAGCTAGCTTCTCACTTCCCATTCTTTGGATAAGGCATAGCATGACCTCAATCTCAGGTAAAATGGGAAGCAAAGTGGCTTTCTAGTCCTTGCATTTATTTCATACTAGTGACCTGGTGCATGAAATTCGTGCATGGGGGTGGGGGGTGTCCCTCAGCCCAGCCTGCACCCTCTCCAATCTGGGACCCCTGGGGGGATGTCTGACTGTCAGACATCCCTCTCACAATTCAGGACCACTGGCTCTTAACCGCTTGCCTGCTTGATCGCCCCTAACTGCCTCTGCCTGTCTGCCTGCCTGATTGCCCCTAACTGCCTCTGCCTGCCTGCCTGCCTGATCACCCCTAACCACTCTGCCTGCTGGCCTTCTTGCCCCCTACTGCCCCCCCTGCTGGCCTGATCGCACCCAACTGCCCACCCTGCTGGCCTGATCGCCCCTAACCGCCTCTGTCTTGGCCCCGCTACCATGGCTTTGTCTGGACAGTCTCCCGGAAGGTCTCCTGGTCTAATTAGCATATTACCCTTTAATTAGTATAGATAGTTTATTCTTACCCATTATAAACCTGGCTTTCAATAGAATATGTGGTCTCTGCCTAGATCAGTGGTCGGCAAACTGCGGCTCGCGAGCCACATGCGGCTCTTTGGCCCCTTGAGTGTGGCTCTTCCACAAAATACCATGTGTAGGCGCCTAGACCATCATTTGTTAACCTGCTAGACATTATTTCTAACACTCAAGAAAAAATCCAAAATTGGAGACTCCTGCTTTTGCCTGTAGGATGGTACTGACAGTGATCTTCAGTTTTATACAAACACCATTACTAGGAGAACTCAAGGTAGCCAATGATCATTCTCCATGGTGCTGCTGTGTCCTGTGAAATGTCTCACTGTTGGAAAGAGTTTCTAAATGTTCATATGCCACTTGTGGTAAATCCAACTATAGATTTTCTTTCATCCTTACTTTAATTAAAGCCTATTAATCTATTCCTTCTGGGAGTACAGTTGATCTACAATGAAGATTGAATTAAAAAAACTGAAAAAGGTGATCACAATCCCAATGTAATGTTATGAATCTTGTGTAAAACCCAATCAGACAAACACATTTGATGTATTTCTACTACAGACTTTTTTTTAGGGGAAACGTGGGAATAGTTGGTGTTTGTAAGGATAATATAGTTTATCTTTTACGTACACAAGTCTCCTGGCTCTGAGCCATCATTAAGAAGCTTTAGGATAAAAATAAAATACCTCTACAGCATACAAATCAGGATTCTTAGGACAGTCTGGCACTAAAGGGCACTGGGGAGAGGTGCAAGGGCAGGCATTGTTGCCTTGTAACAAATAAAAGAGCCATATACAAAAGGAAGCAGCATTAGTGACGCCTGTACTGTTCCATGTTCCCTTGGGTCAGAATGGGCAGGGCCGCCTGGATCCACAGCTGTCTCCTGCCCAGCGCCTGTCTCAGGCTCAGCCCATGTCTGTTCATCATGGAAAGTTGAGGATCTTGGGGTGTGTGCCCGGCCCCACCTCCTCCTCTGTCCTTCCTGTCACGCCCTTCCCTGTTGGCCACACTTGAAGGTGAAACCCCAGTCATGCTTCCCAGCTCATCCTCCAGACTTTCTGTCTGTCTGAGCTTAAAGGAACAATAGGATGAAGAGGCTGGACCAAAGCTGGCTCTTCAGGATGCAGTCATTTTGCAGCAGCAGCTGACCCCGAGGTTTAGTTACTGTTTGCCCCGGCCACCATGAGGCCCGCAGAGGAGGGGGAGGCAGCTGAGACCAGCAGCCTTTTCTGGTGCAGCTCTTCCCACTTACTTCTGTTCTCAGACACTGAATCCAGCATCGGCTTCAGTTTCACATTGACCTTCACCAAGGCCTAAAACAAAACAATCAGAAGGTGGGGGAGAGAGGAACTGGAGTCACTGACATGATTTTCCAGCTTTCACGGTGAGAATGGAAACCGGCTGTGAGGAATGAAAGCGATGATTATTTGGTAACCACGAGCTATTTACAAGAAGTACACATGCATTGAGTGTCACTGTTTTATACTAATAGAGCCGATGCAGAAAATGAAAAAATAAGACAGGTGGCTGTGCACTACTCCCGGGTGCCAGCCAATTAGATTATGACCCTGTTTTAGACCCACATCAAGCAAGAGAGGAAACACAATATCTAGCTCACACATGTCTACTAATATGTGTATCTCTGTCTGCCATGGAGGCCTCCAGATCTCAATAGACCATGAACTTAAATTTTTACAAAAATAAACTTACCGTTTGCTCCACCGGAGATGACTCCAGGTGGACTCACCTGAATAAGAGGCCAGGTAAAATCTTGAAACAAGAGGAGGTTCTCATTTTTAAAGCAAGGATCTTGGAACTGTGCCAAAGGCACAGATCACTGGGAGAACATGTATGGAAATAGACACGAGGGAAAAGGAGTGTGGAAGAGAGGGACAAAGGGGTGTAGGAGAGATGAGGGAAGAGGAAATGTAGGAGGTGGCGACTGACCATGAGGCTAATGAAGGTCAGGATTTAGGGTCCTATTTGTAGGAGACCCTTCTAAATATTGCCTTTTTACTTAACTATGTGTTTTTTTTAAGTCCCCTACTTCCCAATGGTATAAACTTTTGGCCTCACAAAGCTTGGATCACCCCTAAAGTGGAACAAGGGTCGTGGAGCTGTGGGTGTTAGCTCATGGAAAGGTAACACTTCCCGTTTCCTCTTTATGCCTCGGCTCCGTGTTCTGTGGCCACACACGAGATCCCCAGGGCCGCGGAGACACCTTGCCGGTGTGCCCCGTTCACCACAAGGGAAACACACCACTGGGAGGCACCCCTCCTGAAAAGCTTTCTCCCAGCTGGACCGGTGGCTAGGGGGCGGCCAAGAGCAAAGTCCTCCGCAGGAGGAAGAGCTCTCTTCCCTAAGCGGCGGCAGCCACCTGTGTATCCCCTCCCCCTCCCTCTCCAGCAAGTGATAGAACCACAAGTAAAATGTAACTGGATGTAAAGTAAGTAGGTGAGGGATGAAAAGCCCGTAAATAACTGGTACCCCCGTGAGCAGTAAGCACGCCAACTTGGCTGAGATGATGTTCTTTCACATCCATGTCCCTTACACAGAGCATATTCTCTCCCTTAAAAGTGATACTTACCACACCAAGCAACAGCACCTACATTTTTTGTTGTTGTTAATCTTCAACTAAGGATATATTTTTTCCATTGATTTTTAGAGAGGGTGGAAGGGAGGGGGAGAGACAGAGAGAGAAACATTGATGTGAGAGAGACACATCGATTGGTTGTCTCCTGCAGGCGCCCTGACCTGGGCCAGGGATTGAGCCTGCAACCCAGGTACGTGCCCTTAACCAGAATCGAACTGGGACCCCTCAGTCTGAGGGCCGATGCTCCAACCACTGAGCCAAACAGGCTAGAGCAACATCTAATTGTAAACCAGATGTATTAGTTATTCGATACAAAAATGAAACAGCAATATAATAACTCAGGCAGCGATCAAAATCCCATCTATGCCCATGAAAAAAATACAGATGCCTGTTCCTGCTCAACGCATAGTGTTTTTGTTTCGCCAGCAGTGTGAGGTAGCAACCAGTGCCACGGTTTCATTGAGCATAGCTTGGCACCGGCTCCTCTTCACTCTGCTCAGGTCTTTTAATTAAACTGACTACTGTAATTCCTATGGAAATTAGTGTTTATGTTATTTTCCTGCTACAAAAGCATTTCTCTAGAACTTTTTTTTTAAATCCCAGGAGCACAAATTGGATTTTTTTTTCTGTCTGAAATGTAATTAAAAACTCATTTGATTACTATATTTCTGGCTCTGTTTTACTTATTAAATTCTAGTAATCAGTTTTCTTTTATGAAGCTGCTGGGAAATGATCTCAAAAGCAACACATTTTTCTCTACTTTGGCAGGTTCCCGAGCATTTTACTAAATTACATTCATAGCACCTGCCCGTGATTCAAATTACTCCACCAATTTATTCCTTAAACCATTTAAGTTTATTTGGCTTAGTCCCCAAAAGAGGTTTCTTGCCTTTATCTAGCTCTTTGTTCTCCCTCTTGCTTCCTTTGTGTTGAAAAACATCTTTTGGGGGAGTACATATTTCTCAGAATTCCTTCTCTCGCTACATTGTCCTTAAACACAGAATTGACATTCTAGACCAGTGGTGCTCAACCTTCCTAATGCCACGACCCTTTAATACAGTTCCTCATGTTGTGGTGACCCCCAACCATAAAATTATTTTCGTTGCTACTTCATAACTGTAATTTTGCTACTGTTATGAATCGTAATGTAAATATCTGATATGCAGGATATATTTTCATTGTTACAAATTGAACATAATTAAAGCATAGTGATTAATCACAAAAACAATATGTAATTATATATGTGTTTTCTGATTGTCTTAGGCGACCCTTGTGAAAGGGTCGTTTGACCCCCAAAGGGGTCGAGACCCACAGGCTGGTGACCCACAGGTTGAGAACCGCTGTTCTAGACTATCGTTTTCTCTGGCAGGTGCTGGTTCTAGGCAAAGGTAGAAAGAACACAATCCTGAAGAATTATTCCCCCACACACTACAAACGTGTTACACAAATGCAGTTAACTGAGAGAATATAGGACTATTAGAAATTAGGAAGGCAAGGGGTGACCCACACACTAAGTTCCAAGGTCTGTCAGGAGGAGAATGGCTCCCAGTATTTAGAAAGGCATGGGTATTCCTAAAAGCTTCTCATCAGCAAGTGCTACCGGATGAGCTCTGTGCGAATGCCTCTAGGGCAGCCGTGGGCAAACTACGGCCCGCGGGCCGGATCCGGCCCGTTTGAAATGAATAAAACTAAAAAAAAAAGACCGTACCCTTTTATGTAATGATGTTTACTTTGAATTTATATTAGTTCACACAAACACTCCATCCATGCTTTTGTTCCGGCCCTCCGGTCCAGTTTAAGAACCCATTGTGGCCCTCGAGTCAAAAAGTTTGCCCACCCCTGCTCTAGGGTCTGTCTTGTCTGACTTGCTGTTCACTCAGTGAAAAAGAAAGAAACCACTTCTTGCCTGTCTGCTCATACGCAGAGGGACTCAAGGGTACCTCTGCTGTGCCATCAGCCCGGGGCTGCTGGGTCTCCTCTGTGGCATCCCTGTGGCGTGGATTTCCAGTTTTCATTCATGTCCAGAGGCAGGGAACTCACTACTTCCCAGGGGCGTTCAGTTTACGTTTGGTTTTGATTTTAGAATGCTGTTTCTGACATTGAGCTGAAATCTATGTCCCTGTAACTTCTACCTAATGGTTCCAGCCCTTGGGGTGCTTGCCCTTTAAACCAGAAGCTACTGGGGCAATGTAGGACTGATGGCTCATGTGCCGCCTCAATTGTAGGGTAGGGCTGGATCTGACCTAAGGCCCCTCCGCAGACCTCAGCTCTCTCTCCTGCCACTCCCTTCTCTGGTGCTCTTCCCTGGGAACTCGGATCTCCTGGGCCTCCCAGACTCCGGGCTCCGCCTCCACAGTGAGACCCCTGGGCTCTGCCTGGGTTCCCCTCCCTGTGCTGCAGCCTAGAAACTCTCTGCAGGTAGGAAGCTAGGACGGTTGTGGGGCTCACCTCACTTGTTCTGCTCTCTCAGGAATGACCATATGTGCTGCCTGTTGTCCACTGTCTGACAACTTGCATGCATTTCTCCTTCTTTCGGCCCCTGTTGTGACTCATGGCCAGCAGTGGAAGTCTCGCGTTATTGGTGTTAAACGGTCTTGGGTACTATCCCGAGAGTTCCCAGGGAGAGTGGAAACAAGGCCTTTCTTCTTCGTATCTCTAGCTCCTAGCACAGTGACAGCCCCGCCTCTAACCCACCCTCACAGTGGCAGCAGGAAGAAGGGGTAAGGTTAGGACAGCTGCTGCTGGTGGAGAGCAGGGTCAGGACGTTCTGACCTGTGACAAAATCCTGCTGCAAAAACAAACCCAGAATGACCCCCTTGGGAAATGAACAGTGAATTCTCTCTTATTACCATTATTCCCGAGGCCTTGTTTTTATCAGTGCACCCAGCTGCTCTGAATCAGATTCTGGCCTTGCTTTTCCTCTGCCATCATGATCCATATCTGCTATCATTGGTCCCATAAGTGCACATCATCACTTCTTGGAATTCAAGTGCTGGATAGATGGGCAGATGTGGGACAAGGGAACAAGCAAAGAGAGAGCCATGCTCTTAGAGCGAGTTACTACCCCCATTCTCTGCTGTTGGAAGGGGAAACAGAGGAACCCCACCAAATGAAAACCAGCTTTATCTTGGAGCCCAGTAATGTCCAGCTATGTCATTAAGACCTTTTAAAAATGTGGAGGAATTCATCTGAGTTGGCTATTTATTTATTTATTTTAAGGCCAAAGAAAAAAGATGGTTTTCATGTCCTATTATTGAATTATATATTTCCAGAGTGCTGATAATAAGAATTAGTATTTTTCTGCTTCCCCCCATTCCTACCTTACCCAAGAGAAATAATCAGAAACTAAGAGGCCCTAGTTGGTTTGGCTCAGTGGATAGAGTCTCGGTCTGCAGACTGAAGGATCCCGGGTTCAATTCCTGTCATGGGCACATGTCCAGGTTTCGGGCTCGATCCCCAGTAGGGGGCATGCAGAAGGCAGCCAATCAATGATTCTCTCTCATCATTGATGTTTCTAAAATATCTATTTTTTTGAAAAAATATAAAAATAGACTTTGGAGCCCTTCTCAAATACCTGTTTGAGGCAATATTCCTGTTATGAAGAGATGATCATTTTACTACTGTACTATTTACTTTCTCAGTGAAAACATCAAAAAGCCCACTTAGGGGTTGGTATTTTGTAATGGACAAACAGCCAGCTGGTGTGGCTCAGTGGATTGA